GGAGGAGGAAGAGAGGGGAGAGGAAGCGAGGGATTAGAGTGGACAAGAGGGAGAGCCAGAGAGGGAGAGAGAGGAAAGAGGCGTCAACTCCACACCACCATCAACAACACAGACACACCGATCACAGTGAAGAAAGAGTGACGTGACCCAATCCTTGGTTGTGTGCAGAAAGAGGAGGAGTTGGACAGAAAGCACTGTGAAGTGTGGCCCAGCCCGACGAGCGGACTGGGGAACCGGCGGAGGCGAGCCTGCCCACACCTCCAGCTGTGCCAGCTGGGTGAGCCGCGGCCGGTTCAGGTACAGCTGCTCCTCCAGGGCCTCGGAGGGGAAGAAGTGTCCGCCGGGCAGGGCGGCCGAGAAGCTGACGTTCAGGATCTCCGCCGCGCCGCCGCCGGCCTCGGCGTCGGGCTGGACGTTGAAGACGAAGACGTCCTCGGGCGGCACGGAGAGGACGGCGGACACCCCGTCCACGAAGAGCCCCAGCAGGGGCGACAGGAAGCGCTCCTGGGACATGTTCTGCAGGCGCACCGTCACGCTGCTGGACAGCATCTCCTCCGTGATGATCAGCACACGCAGCACGCACTGCGCCGTCACGCTGTGGACCCCGTCTGCAGGGAGAGACAGAGAGAGCCGCACTGAGGCACCGGGGCACCGCGGGGGCGCACCCTGAGCACCTGCCCGACACCCCAACACTCACACCCTGACCAGCACACAGACTGCCCGACACCCCAACACTCACACCCTGACCAGGACACAGGACACGGACTGCCTGACACCCCAACACTCACACCCTGACCAGCACACAGACTGCCTGACACCCCAACACTCACACCCTGACCAGCACACAGACTGCCTGACCAGCACACACACTGCCCGACACCCCAACACTCACACCCTGACCAGCACACACACTGCCTGACACCCCAACACTCACACCCTGACCAGCACACAGACTGCCCGACACCCCAACACTAACACCCTGACCAGCACGCAGACTGCCCGACACCCCAAC